GGGGGGGGGAAAGTTAAAGGGACATTTTATGACCGAAGGAAGGTCGCATCTTACTGGTGCCGTGAACGTGATGCTGTTGTCGCCAGGCTCTAATGTTACATCCTGCACCTTCAGCATTTGGGCTCCTTCCTTAATTCCAACAGTAGGGGGGCTGATACAGTTAGGCGTGTCTGGGGGTGAGTTGCTGTCATGACGACGCATGAGCAGGTGAGTGTTTTTACATATCACTCCTGTAGAGTTGAGAGAATTGTCCGAAGGACTCCTGTCCTGAATCTCATCCAGCTCTAACGAAGGCCCGGCACCTGCGGAGGATGGAGGACCCGCTGATGAGTTACTCTGTCTAAACACTACTGTCCCCGGGTGCGTTTGTCTCTGAGCTCCCTTTGACCTCCCATGAGTCCCTCCGTGATCCACCTCAAAGTGAATGCTGGCGACTAGTTGCTGGATGCGCACCGACACGGGCATCAAACACCGCAGAGTGAGCTCCACCTGCAGGACAGCTCCAGAGTGCACCGAGGCTGCTGCTGGGTGGAACTTTAACTGCGTGAGCTGTGCAAACACGCCCATGCTGAGGGTAACTTTGTGAGCTGAGAGCAAGAAGCAGGAAAAAAAAAAAACACGTTAGTGATGTACACATTTTTGTAAATTATAAATACAAAGTGGATTCCAACTGATTGGGAGTTAAACTGGCTTACACTGGTCTCCAGACTTGCCAGTAAAGCTCAGAATTTCCTGACAAAAGTGTTTCCTCTCGTCCGTCGTCAGATTTACATCACCAGCCAACAAAGCACTGGTTTGTAAGTAGCTGTGGAGGGTTGTAAAGGAAACCAAATATTTCATTTCACTACTTTTGGAAGAACAAAACAGGAACCCCTACTTTACCTTCAAGGCCAAACCGAACCAGACAAGGTTTCACATCATCAGCGGCTCAGCCTATTTTTACCCTGACTGATAATAATACTAGACCAACATATAGAAGGTCGTGTAAATATTTTGATGCCATAACAACCGACTTTATATTACAAAGAAACTAAAGGACATACTACAATATCTTTGGGCCCAAAGTGTCATCAAATATAAAACCTTCACCACACAAAAACATCAATTCTTCTATAATGTGAAAGCATTAAAGTAGCAAACCCTCACCATAACTTAAAACATTTATTAGAACATTAGTGATTAATCATCTTATGAACCACTGATCGATTGATCACTAGAAAATGTAATCCACACTATACACAGGTACCACCCAC